GTCTCTTTGTCAATGCAACCTAATCAGCCTCTGATTTACCCATCCCTGCTGCCTTCTGTTCGGCCAGAAGACTCCTACCCTGCAGCTGCTCATGACCTTGTTTGCTCCAAGCAAGACTTAATTTTCTCTTTCCTCTTTTCTATGATTTATGGGTTCATAATGCCTGCATCCCATTTTCTGGGTGATACAAGAAGAAAGAAAGGACTCAAATTTAGTGGTGAATGTAATTCTTTATTATTGCCATGAGGCAGATCTTCCTTTCCCTAAAATCTTTCAGTCTCCGGACACTCAGGAGTCAGTCCTTCCTGTCACGATGTCAGTGTCCCTTCCATGAGTTTTTGCTGGTGTTTTCCAGTGTGATTGCCTAGAGCTTCAACTACTTCCAGATATTCCATTTGATCAGTTAGAAAGCACAGAAAACATTGAAATGCTTCACCTTGCTGCCAGCCCTGTGGAGCAGCTCTGCAGTGTTCGGTTGGAAGAAGACCAGAAGGGCGGATCAGCAGGAATTTCTGTTATTGAAGGCAACAGTGCTTTGACCTACCAAGCTAACAACAGTAGAAAGAAACTGAGCACAGAAAGGGATGCAAAGGGATGGAGGCATCAGGACTGATGGAATCCCACCCCAAGAGCAGCAAGTTCCTGCTCATATCTCTTTATTCCCATCTTGGTTGGGTTGCTTTTCTTCTAAAACCCAGAACCACAGCAAGGAATGTGACTGCCTCATCCTGGGCTCTCACCACTCAGTTCCTTTTTGATGTACGAATGTCGATTCTGTCATGGAGATTCAGGTTTCAAAGACGCTTTCCAAAGCAACAAAACTCTGCAGGAGGAAAAAAGAGGGTTGTTGCTTTGATCAGATAGTAAAAAATTGTCGAGGAAGACAAATGGGGATGGAATTGCTCCGAAATAACTCTGTGTCACTTGAGTTTTCCAACAGCACCCATAACTTTGTGACAAACTGGGGATCTTCAGCATAGGCTTCCGTCTCTTTTGCATTTGTCTTGGGTGTCTTCTGATCATTTTCCCTGGGATGCCATGCAGGCAACACTGTCAGGTTTTGTGTTTTAGAGGAGGTGACCATGTGTTGGCCTGTGCCACAAGTGTGTGAGCTGCCAAGAGGTGAGTTGGAAAGCTGTCAGACGTTGCACCAACTCCTTTTCAACCCTCCATTGTGTGTTTCAGACCTGGCAAACTGTGAGGAAGGCTGGATCAAGTTCCAGGGCCATTGCTACAGGCACTTTGAAGAGAGGGAGACATGGATGGATGCAGAGTCCAGGTGCCGAGAACATCAAGCCCACCTGAGCAGCATCATTACTCCAGAGGAACAAGAATTTGTGAACAGTGAGTGTTGGGGCTGCCTGGGGGACATGAGAACAGAGAGGGGTCCGTCCACTGAACTCCATGTTTATGGTGGAGAGGTTTGTGCAAAATGATGTGAAAAGCAAGTGCTAGATGACCCCGGGGCCCCAGGTCCAGAAGAGGTGAGCTGGAAAAGGGGTGCCTGCACACAGCGTGGTGAGCCAGCACCTACCCTTCTATTTCTGTTCTGCTTTCCCAGGCCATGCACAGGACTATCAGTGGATCGGCCTCAGTGACAGAGCTGTGGAGAACGATTTCCGCTGGTCTGATGGGCACTCGCTGGTGAGCAACTGGGACAGACCTAGTCCTCAGCCTGGGGCAGGGGAATTGGTGTTCTTGGTGGGAGGAATGGTGCTGGGGACAGAGCCCTCGAGTGACACGCTGAGTGCTTGGATAAGGTGTGAAGGCAGCCCTCAGCTGAATGGTTTTTCCTGGTTTTAACCAGCTCTGGTGAAACCACGCCTGACCAGAGGCTGAGCTCCGTGGCACCATGGCCATAGGCGTATGGCTGCAGTAGCAGTGCAGGTAGCTGTGGTCTCTAGCAGGTGGAGGCAGGAGGAGACACAAGGGAGGGAAGGAGAGAGGGGACTCAGGCTCGAGTGTTTTCCTCTCCCCCCAGCAATTTGAGAACTGGCGGCCCAACCAACCTGACAACTTCTTCTCCGCGGGCGAGGACTGCGTTGTGATGATCTGGCATGAGCAAGGCGAATGGAACGACGTCCCCTGCAACTATCACCTGCCTTTCACGTGCAAGAAGGGAACAGGTGAACTCCTGCTGTGCACCAGCAAGATGGGGGTGATTCAATCAATGGCTGTGGGGTTGGGGCACGAGGGGAATGAGCCCTCGTTCTGCCACTGAGCTCTTTGAGAGTAACAGCCCCATGTTCAGCCAGGAACGTTGATGCTGTAAGCCTGCCTCCCACTGAAGTTTGTATGAACTTAGGTTTCTTTGAACTTCTTTAGCAATAGTGCCGTTTTTGTAGTATCTCCATCTATTCCCCTCCTAAGGAAACAATCTCCCCGTTCTCAGCTTATTCTCTAGCCCTGGGTCTGGCTGATGGATGTTATAAAAGCTTGAGGGGTAGCACCTGCCCACATGGGTCGAGAAACTATCTGGATCAGAAATGCCATTCCAGCAGGGGAATAACGAGGGAGAGCATCACTCCCACCACATCTTAGGGATGGGCAAGGTGGTTGCATCTTTCCACCCCATCAGTGCCTCACTTAAAGGTCAGAAGGAGCGGCCATCACCCACTTACAGACACCACAGAATCACCATGTTTGGAAAAGACCACTAATATCACCTAATCCAGCCATCAACCATCCCCACTGTGCCCTCAGTGCCACATCCCCACAGCTCTTGAGCACCTCCAGGGCGGTGACCCCAGCACCTCGCTGGGCAGCTGCGCCACCGCATCACCTCTTTCTGAGAAGCTTCTCCTAATATCCAACCTGAACCTCCCCTGGTGCAACTTGAGGCCATTCCCTCTTGTCCCCACAGGACAGCACAGGAGAAGCAGCAATGGGGCTGACGGGTTGAGAGCCGCCTGCCAGGGGTTCTCCGTCTCTTACTGTCTTTCCCCATTTCCTGCAGTTGCCTGTGGGGACCCACCTGTAGTGGAGAACGCCCGGACCTTTGGCCGGAAGAAGGACCGCTATGAGATCAACTCCCTGGTGCGGTACCAGTGCGACCATGGCTACATCCAGCGCCACGTGCCCACCATCCGCTGCCAGCCCAACGGGCGCTGGGAGGAGCCGCGGATATCCTGCACAAACCGTACGTCTCAGCCTTCCCAGTCATCCGCACCTGGGGGGTGGTGCACAGGGACGCCCTTGGACAATTCCCCCCCCTCCCCCCTCTCTCCCCTGGGGATGTGGATATTTGAGGTGCTGGATGCACGCAGCTGGGAGGAATGGGAATCGAATTAATCATAGAATCACAGAATGGCTTGAGTTGGAAGGGACCTTAAAGATCACCCAGCTCCAACCTCCTGCTGTGGGCTGGTTGCCCCCCCACCGCATCAGGCTGCCCAGGGCCCGTCCAACCTGGCCTTGAGCACCTCCAGGTGCATTGGGTGGCACTGGGTGTAGGGCAGTGCTGAGCCATGGGAAGATGCCGTGCTGGAAGCTTTCCCGAGGTAGAGCTGAGGGATGGAGCAAAAAGCTTAATAAGAGCCAAGGCTACTTAAAGAAAAGGAAAAAAAAAGGAGCAGCTCCTGCAGCTGGTGAGTAGCAGAGGACAGGAGTGGGGAGCCCTGCCGAGGAGACAGGGCTGGCCCCAGGGATGGGGCCGGGTTTCTGGCCCTTCTCGAGGCGTCCCGGCCCATCCCCAGGCTGCCTACACCCCGCTCCCATCCCTGCTCGGAGCTTCCCAACAATGACATCGAGCTCAGCCAAATCACATCCCTCAAATGCCGGCCGGCTCCTGGCCAGCTCCGCTCCAGCCCAGTCCCCGAGCTGGGGAAAGCAGGCGGGAGGGACGGAGGAGAGCGCAGTGCTGCGCTCCTGGTGCTGCGTTTTCCCTGCTTTCCCTCCTCCCCTGTTTCTCCTCATCCCAATAACGATGCCATTTCTCCCCGCAGCCTCCAGCTACCAGCGCCGGCTATACAAGAGGAGCCCCCGGAGCCGGTCGAGACCCGGTGTCATGCACAGACCCACCCATTAAAGCGGGGCGAGGGGTGAGCAGAGAGAGAAAAGAGAGATTTTTATGGAACACTTATATTAACAGAGGCGATTTCTTCTTCTTGTTGTTGCTTTTTTGTCATATAAGGAAAAAAAAAAAATTATATTACAGACAAACCCACCTTTGTGTATATATATATAAAAAAAGAAAAAAAAAAAAATTAATGTTTTCCAAGCCCCAAAGCAAAGCAAATTAGAAGTCAGCATTCTTACTAACGGTCCGGTTCCAATTATCGTCGTGCCTTCGGGGATGGGGAGGGGGGTGGGATCGCAGAGGGCAGGGGGTTAAGTTAAATAATAAAGATGATTATTTTTTTCCTGATTTTATCCACGAACAATGTAATTATTTCTGTTATTTAATCTCCGGGGTGATCAGCACCTTTTGGGGTTAATTTTATTTTATGTTTTTTTTCCAGAATCCTACTGCTGCGGCGCGTCGGGGCGGGTGGGCAGAGGGGCAGTGAATGTACCGGGAGGGCCGGGGGCTGCGGTGGGGGGAAGCGGGGGGAGGCTGAGAGCCCCCCACCACCGCCCCACAGCGCTGCGCCCATCCCGGGACGACGTGCTCTTTCCAGGGGACCGTGCGGGGCACCAGCGTTCCCTGCACCTATTTATATTTTTTGAACATATCCTATTTTGAAAGAGTGATAAATAATAAAGAGAGCGAAATCGGAAAGGGTCGCTGTGGTTCCTTCTTTTTAATTTGGGGGGCAGAGGGAGGTGGCTGAGTGGGGTGGGGTAGCAGGGAAGGAAAGGAACCCAAAGGGGTTGTGTGGACAGAAGGGCGGGGGGACCCCTGGCACTGAATGCAGGTGGGAACGGCATGGAGCAGGAGGTGCTCAGGAGGGGGTAGACCCAGGAACACACTCCAACTAAAACCCAACAGCAGGAAAACCCACTATCAGCAGACGCTTCACCCTCTGCCTTCCAGATCAGGGTTCAATTCGCACTCATTATGAGGCGGCTCAGCCAAGGATGAGGCGTGCATGGCACATTCCTCACTGCTCCATGCACGTCCCTGGGTGTCTTGGTGGGGGACCCCAACTTCTCTCCATTTCTCGCACTGAGACAGAAGTGGGGACACTGCCACATTGCTCCAGGGCTTTCTCCACTGATTTATTTAGAAGAGGTCCAGGAAAATACATCATCTTTTTCATAACAAAACACTTGAAAGAAGAAGGCACCAGAGTTCAAACGGGGTCCGGGCGTGGGGTGCATGGATATAAGGCACAAGCACCACCACGGGGACAGGCACAGCAGCATCCTTCAGTGGGATGGGACGAGACTGCAGCAGGGATGGGATGCAGCGGGGCTGGGCTGTAGGGGAGATGCCTACTCCATGCCCTGGTCCCATGCAGTCAGGGACACGGAACTAGGATGGACGGAGAGGGGCCATCGTCCTTGCATGTAGCCCATATGGAGCCAGTCCCCTGCTCTAGAGCAGGATGCTCCAGCCCAGCCTCCTGCTGCATTCAGAAAGTGTAAAACATAAAGGAAGAAGAATTCAAACCAAAGAAGTTTCCCCCTACCCAGTCACTCCCAAAACAGCCCTGGGTACACCCAAGGCCAGGCACCGTTGGGATGGGAACATCCTCAGGCCGGGCAGGAACCCTCCTCGTTCTTTATCTCTCCTTGTAGCAGAAGACTCCAAACCTGCCCTTGCTGGGGAAGCCAAAGCTGCGCACGCCGGGCTCTGCGGGGCCGCAGTTGGCACGGGGCTTGGCGATGGGGTAGCGGACACTGCCATCCGCCAGCCAGCCAGCATCGCAGCGGTCCAACCCGTGGAACTTCCATGCAGAGTAGAGGTGTCCCACTTTGGCAATCTCTGCGCCAGTGTCCAGGCACGCCTGCTTGGCTTCCTCCAGCGTCATTCTGGTTGGGTGTTCCAGGTAGAAAACCTCACCTGAGAAGGAGAGCAGCATCAGGAGGGAAGTGCATGGGGCTGAGCATCACCCGCAGCATCGCCGCGTGCCATATCCTTAGGGACAACAAGGACGTGGGACGCCACCACGTGGCACAACCCCGTGGGGACCCACCTCGGAGTGTGGAGGAGAAGCAGAAGACATCAAAGCGGTGCAGGTGCCGGTGGCGGGGGCCGTAGCTGCGGATGCCCGGGGCGAGGTGCACCCCGCCGCAGGGTTTGCGGGGCAGGCGGATGGGGTAATGCACAGTGCCATCGGCCAGCCAGCCCGCGTTGCACCAGTCCAGCCCCTCGCTCCAGGCCTGGAAGAGCTGGTGGAAGGTGGCGATGAGGGCACCCTGCTCCTGGCACACTCGCTCGGCTTCATGGAAGTTGAGGCTGTACTGCCCGCGGGGTGGTTGGTAGGGGAACACGATGCCTGGGGGCACACGGGGTGCTCAGAGGGCAGCACGCCCACCCACCCCAAAGTCAAACTCAATCACCCCAGGGTGCAGAGCCGCCAGCAGCACAGAGACGCTCTGGGCAAGCAGCCACCAGCAACAAGATGCCAGCGACATCTGGTGGCACAGGGACAGAGGGGCTCAGTGCTGGGGATACGTGCAATCACGCATGGGGACAGCAGTGGTGCGCATGGGGATGGGGATGCTTAGAGTAGGGTAACAGGGACATATGGATCACAGTCCTAGCACACACACGGTGTCTCAGGGGGTGGAATATTGCCATGGGAATACACGGTCTGCGGGTACAGGGACACAGAGGACAGGGGGCCACAGGCTGCACAGAGCTGGGTGCCCCGTCCATGCAGGTGCTCAAGGCCTGGTTGGAAGGGGCCCTGGGCAACCTGAACTGGTGGGGATAACCAGCCCACAGCAGGGGGTTGGAGCTGGGTGATCTTAGATGTCCTTTCCAACCCAAGCCTTTCAGCGATGAATACCATCAAGGATGCCAACAGGGAGGTGGCCAGACCCTTGTCGTGGGGATGGCTGGCTCGTAGGAACACACAAGCCTACAGCTCCCCACTAAGCCCCAAAGCATCACTCTGAGTATCCCAACCTCTTTCCGCCTATAGCCTCTCCCGACCCACCCGCCCTGCTGCCACCCAAGGGCCATGCTGGCCAGCCCCCACCTCGCAGCCGAAGCTCCACCACATCACTGGCATCCTCCAGCCCCTCGATGACTTCACAGCGGTATTTGCCATCATCCTGCAGGCGCACATCGCTGATGAGCAGCGAGGCTTCGCGCTGTCCGGTCCGGTGGAGGTGAGCGCGGCCTCGGAAGTCCCCAAAAGCCATGTAGGTTTTGCCAATGGCCACCAGCACGTCCTGCTCCTTGGTGTAGTCATCTCGCAGCTTGGACCACTTGATGCGGATCTTGTGCTTGGCCTCAGATTCGGGCTCGTGGTGGTAGTGGCAAGGCAGGGTGACATTAGCACCGCTGAAGCTATAGATGGGGTCTTTGGAGGTCTCCACCACCAGCCTGACCCCATTGAAATCAATCACTGGGGACAAGGAGGGAAGATGTGAGGGAATGGTCCTCACCTCTCCCTGCAGCTGTTCCACTCCCTCCCTCCAGCCACCTCCTCAGCTGCCTGAGCATCCCGTGAGCACTCCATGTGCTCCTCTAGGCTCCCAACATGTGGGTCCCATCCCCTTCCTCGAGGTGGAGGGAGCATCTCAGCCTCTTGCCATGACTCTCCAGTCCCCTCAGCCCACGGTACCTTTCTCGTGCCCGTTATCATCATCATTCATGACGTGGTTGTAATAGAAGCCGTTGTAGAAGGGGTGGTAGGAGTTGACCAGTCGCAGCAGGGCAGCCTTGAGGAGCAGTGAGAGCAGCAGCATGGCTGGGGAATGAGGCTGGACCCTGGGCCTTCACAGAATCATAGGATCGTTAAGGTTGGACAAGACCACTGAGTTCACCTAGTATGACCATCAGCCCATCCCCACCACGTCCCTCAGTGCCACATCCCCGCAGTTCTTAACATCTCCAGGGACGGTGACTCCACCACCTTCCTGTGCCACTGCATCACCACAGTTTCAGATAATACATTTTCCCTAACATCTGTCCTGACACCCCCCCTGATACACTGGCAACTTGAAGCCATTACCCCTCATCCTACCAATGCCTAGAAAAGTACCAGTGTTCCCTCCACAGCCGGTTAACCACCCAAATTTCTTCAACACAGCCCCACACCAGCCACTCTTCATGCTGTAGGGTGACCCCAAAACGGCCAGCGTTCCCTGGCACACAAGGACACAAGCAGAGGGGTGTCCCCATGCAACACACCAACCACATTCCATAGGAGAATCCCGGTGCCCCATGTCCCCGCAGCCCTTCTCCTGCTGGCACCCAAGGGTGGCACTCAGGGCGGGCAGCGGGGCTTGCAGGCTTCCCCGGAGCCGGCAGAGGGGGCCCGGCACCCACGGAGCCTCCCTCAGCCCCTGCAAGGAGGGGTTTGACATCCGCACCCCGCGTTGAGATGAGGTTTAGGAGCGCTGCAAGAGAGTGCCTGAGTCCGCGGCGGGGACAGTGCAGGGGACAGAGGTGACCTCCGGCCATGCCACCAGGGCGGGGGAGCGCAGCTGGATGCTCCCAGCATGGGATGGGATGGTACCCCATCAGCCCGGTACCACCTCTGTGCGCTACATGCACACACACAGCCACGTGCTGCGGGCACAGGGCGCTGGGACGGGCACGAAGCACCCGCAGCCGCACACGTTGGGCTGGGGACACCTGAACCTCACCCCGCTGCATCCCCAACCTCATGGCGTGGTGATGTGCCAGCGTGCCAGCATCCTCCACCGCTACGCTGGGCAGCGTGGTGCTCACCGTGCTCACAGCGCTCGCGGCGTGGAGCACGGCGACGTCCATCAGCGATGCCCAGCACCCATGCGGTGATGCTGTCCCTGCCGTCCCTCCTCATCCCACACAGCGCCTCACCCCATGTGCCACCCGTCCCCGTCCCCAGCCCCATCCCCTGCCCCACTCACGGCGGGCAGCAGCAGCAGGCAGCGGGCAGGCTGCAGGCAGATGCAGTGTGTTTAGGACTCTCAGGGTTGAGAGGAAGCAGCTCCAGGGCCTGCCTCTTAAAGGGAAACACACGCTATTCCCAACCCCCTGCTCTCAGGATGGAGTAGGGGTGGGTGCCCCGAGCCCCCTGCCTGCCTGTCACACCCAACCAGAGCTGTGTGCCCTCACTGCATGCCTCTGCATGATGCGTTGCTCGCCAGCATTGCCTAGTGCAAGGGAGAAGATGAGGGGAAAGGCGTGCTCCATTGGGGATGCTGAAATCTTGGGGTGAGCCCCGTGATGCCGTACTCACAGCCGCACACACTGCCACAGAGCACCTTGCATCCCACCACAGAACCAACTTTTGGCAGTGGCAGTGCCATGCAAGCACTTTGCAGGAGTGCCACGAGCACGAGCAGCTCCAGGATGGTGGTTCTGGGAGGTCTGTACCAAAACCTTTAGACTATCCGGCTGCACCCCTCCGTCAGGGCATCACCCACGTAATTCCAGAGCCACTGCCAGGCTGGACGCTGCCAGGCCTCGGGGCCACGCGTGTGCCCTGACCCTGCTCTGCTTTGTTGTTTTACGGCGAGGAAATGAGGCGCGGGGCCCTGCTCCCTGCTCCCTGCTCCCTGCTCCCTGCTCCCTGCTCCCTGCTCCCTGCCCCACCGCGCAGGATGGCGTCAAACCGGAAAGAAAACACCGCGTGTGAAAATAAAGCATCCGCCGACCCCATCCTGCAGGCACTGAGCCCGTCTGGCACCAGAGCGGGCTGATAGGGGCTGGGACACGGCGCTATCAGCCATGTCTCTTGCGGCTCTGCCCCCGTGGGAAGCATGGCTGAGATCATTGGGACGCACAGGGTCTCACAGCTCTGCTCAGCCATCCTCATCGAGGGACAGAGATACAGAGTGTGGGTGCCGTGCACACAGCTGAGCTTCGGATGCTGGGGGGCACAGTTAGTGGGCACTGTTGGCGGTAGGCAGATAACAGGACGGGATGATCTTAGAAGTCTTTTCCAGCCTTAATGGTTCTATGATTCTCTGACACCAAATCACGTGGCGCTGCCACAGGGTCTCCATGGAGGGGCCTCCCCCGTGCGTGACGGCACGACGCCGCGCTGTCCCGTGGCCCACAATGGGGTGATTACCTCTCCCGGCACCGTGTCCCCGTGCTGCAGCCACACCACGGTCCCCTCCCGCCGGGGCACGTTGCTCCTTGGCGCTGCCACCCCATTGTTTGCCAGAGGAAGAAAAAGCTGCAGTGTGCCCAAAGCACCCCGCAAAGAGCCCTCCCTGGAGAAGGGTGCTTTGTGACCCCCATCCTCGCTGCTTGGAGGATGATCCTGGAGTTGGGCTTGGAGCTGAGCTCCCCAGGGATACAGCCGGGTGGGACAGCGCTGTGGGGTCAGTGCAGATCCAACCCAGCAGTGTGTGAGATGGGCAGGTGTTTGGGGATGGATCAAACAGCCATAAAGGTGTCAGCTCGGCTGCTCAACCTCAGAGCCAGTGAATGGCAGCTTCGACCTGGTCCTGGAGGGGGATTTCTTGGCAAAAAGCTGCTTGCACAGGACGCGGCTCAGTCTCTGCCAGCAGCTCCAGCGGGAAACCCACGCTTGAGGCTGGAAGTGGGGAGGGAAACCCAGATCTGCTGCAGGATGGAAGGGGCTGTGAGCAGTGCTGGGTTTCCTGGTGCTGGTGAGAGGATGCTGTCCTGTGGCTGCTTCCTGCAGGCAGGCAGTGGGGTGCCGCAGCGTGCCAGCCTTCCTGCCTCCAGGAACAGCATCCGAGGGGCAGGGGTGGGGGTCTGCATGGGGTGAGGGAGCCCTCATTGCCCTCAAGGGCAGCACTGGTGCTGGGCAGGAGGAAGGAAATGTTGTGGGGCAGGGAAGGGCTCAGCCACTCAGTGGGGCAGTGGTGACAGCTGCAGTGATATGTGGCTTTGGCTCCTTTTGCCCTCCCTGCAGAGCCCTCCCTACCTCAGAGCTGTCTCGCCAGACTCAGAGCAGGCTGCCCTTATCTCTGCTGCTGCTTCCCGGCGATAAGAGGGCACGTCTGGGTGGGAGTGTTGTCCCCCCTGCTCTGGCTCTGGGTGCTATTTGTCTCCGACCAGCCATGGCTGTGGTGAATGCAGGAGGTGATGGAGGGATGCAGGAGGCTCTGGGCCATTCCTATCAGCTTCAGGGACCCTACTCAGTGGTAGAGCTCCTCCACCACACCCCAGTGCCCCCTCCTCTTCCAAGTGTGGGATCCCAACCAGCAGCCCCCATCCAGCACCATGCCCAGGAGGTTTGGCCACAGCTTCCTCAAAGCTGCAGCTCTGAGAGCGGTTTTGCTCCAAGCTGGGGATCTGCTCCAGGATCAAAGCCAAAGGAGGATGCGCAGGGCGTGGGGTGCTGATAGTAGTTTCCCATCCCCACGTCCCATCGCGCTGCGTTCGGCCAGCTGCAGGCACAGGTTCCAGCAGCTGGGATGGGGTGGAGGCCGGGGGGAGGATGTATACAAGCCTTGGTACTGTTTTTTGGAGAAAGGAAGGGAGCCAGGAGTGTGTGAGGGCAGGAGGGATGCCTCTGAGAGACGGCAAGCACAGAGCAGTGAGGCAACAACCCAAAGTTTCAGTTTTAATACTGTCAACAACACCCTGGAGCAAGGCCGTGCCACCTGGGTCCCCTCGGTCCTTCCCAAAGCCAGCCCAGCGCTGTGGCCACATCCCATACCAGTCCACGGGGACAATGGTGCCACCAACACTTTCCTAGCAGCCATCCCACTCGCTGGTGCTGGCTCAATGCTTTCCCACTGCCCATCCCAACAGCTCCAGCATCGCCACCCCAAAAAGGGAAAAATCAGGATACAAAAAGGATCAGGGCTCTGTTTTGGGGCTGCTCCACCACCACCTCCAGCTGCTCCATAACAATAGTGTTGGTACCCTGGGAATGTGATCAAAAGGGAAAAAGAACATTTTTGAGACCCCCCTGCCTTGGGCTGCAGGGTGCCCAGGGTGGATGTCCCTCACCACTCGACCCCACAGACCCATGGGTTTGCTTTCTTGGGGGCTGGGGAGGGCTCTCAGCTGCCACAAGATCAGTGCAGCAGGAAGAACTACTGATAGGAGCAGCCTCTCCCCCTCTCAGCACTCCCCTCGCACTATGCAGCACTGATACAGCCCGCAGAGAGCCCCGGGGCCTGGCAGAAGGGATAGAGCTGAGGTTTGTAGCTCCTTCACATGGCCATGCAGGGAGGAGGAGGGATGGTAGAGGTTAGGTTTGGTCCCCCACAACGGCTGAGCCCCAAACTACGGTGCAGCGCACGCAGGGTGCTGCTGCTGACTGCTGGAAGCAGAGGGAAAAGGGAGAAAAGTCATCTCCAGGCTTAGGGGAGGCTGCAACCAAGACCTGCGTGCAGGATAGGGTCCCACAGCCAAGATCCATTTGCAGAGGAGAAGGTCTCACTCACAGCTTGTAGGGCAGAAGGGCAGGAGCCATCCCCGCATCCTATAGCAGCCCCATAAAGTGCAGTGCTGCAGCCCCAGCGCAGGGCAGGGGACCCCCTGAGGCAAGGCAGCGCCCGGAGCCTCCCTCCAAAATTCGGGGAGGAGGAGAGGGAGGTGTGAGCGGGAGGTGTGCAGGGTGGGCAGAGTGTGGGCCGGGTGATGGGGATGGGGCTGTCCCTCCTTCACGCCCCTACTCGTCACAGCCCAGCAGCTCGACACGCAGCGTGATGCGGTTGTGCCAGGCCACGGGCAGGATGCGCACAAAGCGGGCGTGGAAGGGCACATCAAAGACATTCTTCTTGTGCGAGTAGTTGTCACTGTTGCCGTGGAAGATCTGGGGGGAGAGAGAAGCAGTCAGCATCACAGGGACCCCGACGCCATTTACACACAGCCCTCAAGCCGGAAGGTGTCCCCAAGCCCCCGCAGCTCGCTGCCCCCATACCTTGGTGCTGTTGGTCTGGCTGTCCCTGTACACAGTCCAGGAGGTGCCATTGTCACTGTAGGCCACTTTGTAGGCTGCCACGTACTGGATGTGGCCAAAGTCACGAGCTCCCTGCGTAACGATGCCCGTCACCTTCTTCTGGTCCCGAAGGTCGATCTGGAATAGAGATGGGGCTGAGTCCCTGCGTACTGCTCAACCAACCCCTGCCCCAGCAGGACTAACGAAATGCTGTGGGAAATATTTGACCCAAGCACCCTCAGGGCAGGGAACTGTTCCCCACACATCACTGCGGCTGCTTTGGCACCTCGTGCTGGAGAGGTCAACGCGGGAATGATGGCAAAAATCCCAATTTAAAAAAAAATAATTAAAAAGGACTCCCAGAGGAAATGCATTTCCAACGGAAAGTGATTCTGGATGAGAAAACACGCAGCTGAATGCAGGCTGACATTTGGGCAGCAAGGGAGATCGTTTCTGTGCTGTTTGCTTTGCTTCCTGCCCTGCCACACTGCGTTACTTCTGCTGGCACAGCGCGGGGTAACGCAGCTAAAGAGCCAAAGGTCTCCTTAATTTTGTTCCTTCTTTATGTTCATCGAGGGCCACGCTAACCACACATACATGTACATATTTATATATATATAGGTGTACGTGTGAATCTACCTACACGTCCACAAGCACAC